ACCCAAGATGATGAAGAGGCAGCTGCATCGCATGCGGCAGCTGGCCCAGACGGGCAGCCTGGGACGGTGAGTGCCATCGTCCCCCTCCGGGGGACCAGAGGGAGTAGGCGGTGGGGGAAGACCGGGGAGGAGCGAAGCTGGGAACATCTGGACAGCCACGCTCTGATCCTCCAGACCCTGCTCTTCTCCCCCCACCTCCCAGGCAGCGCTGGAGGGGCAGGCGTGGGACTTGGGGGAAAGGGCGCCCCCAGCCGATTGGAGGGGGTGCAGGGGGAAAAGCGCTCTGACCAACGATGCTGGGGCTTTCTGCCTCCCTGAGCCTCTAGCGGACCGCCCTCCCTGGCCTCACTTGTCCCCTCTAGTCAATGGGGACAGTGAAGCATCTCTGGTGGCTGTGTGGGGGAGGGGGAAGAAGAGATAAGGACCCCGATCCTGGGGGAGGGGCAGAGACCGTCTGGCCTGGTGGGGGGAGGGGCCCGACAGACACACACACACACACACACACACCCCTGCGGGGTCCCACACCCCCAGCCCAGAGGTTTCCAGCTTCTCCATCTTGCTGTCCCAGGCTCAGGTGGAGCTGTCAGCAGGTCTCTCTGTTCGCACCCCTACCCCTGAGCGGAGGCCGGAAGTTTGGGGAGCCTGAGTGGGCCTTCCTTCTCTGCTCCCCACCCCAGCATGGGGACTTCCCCTTCTCTGAGCTCAGGAGGGGACTGGGTGCCCAGAGCCCTGCTTCTAGTCTCCTTGGCCGTGGGCGCCTGGCCGTTAGGCCACCTTGCTGCGGGCAGGGGCCTGAGGGCCTGCCTGTTGGTGCAATCCTGAGGCCTGTGGGGCTGACAGGCCAGGAACCCGAGTTCCAGCACTTCCTGTTCTGGGGCCAGTCTAGGCCGCCTCCTTGGGCCTCGCTAGCCCACCCACCGAGGATTTGAGGGGTGGGCAGAAGAGAGAAGCTGCGCCCCTGTGCCTAAAAGTTGGGCCCCGGGGTGGATCCCCTGACTGCCCTTCAGTTTTGGCACAGCCCAGGGTGGAGGAGGAAAAAGCCTAGTGTCTTATTGCGCCCTGTGGAATGTGCTCTAACCGGGATGAGGCAGACCGGCCACCCAGGGCGGGCTCCACCTGGGAGAGGCTCTGGAAGCAACTGGGGTCCAGGGGCCCTGCTGGGAGGGAACAAGGGGAGGCAGGGGGGCCCTAACCTGGGCCAGCCCAGCAGAAGCTCGCTCTCCTCCGCAGCACCCCGGAGACTGCCGAGTTCCTGAATGAGAACCTGCTGCAGGTACATGCCTGGGCGGGCACTGGATGGGAGGGTCTGAGTGACTGTCAGAGCCCAGGGGAGGCCACTTGGGGGCCGGGGTGGAGTCATTCTCTAGGCTGTTGGCGCTGGGTCCCCAGGAGGAGAGGACTCCTGGAAAACAACAGGCAGTGAAGGAGGAAGTTAAGTGCTCAGTTAAGTGCTCAGCTGCTAACTAAAAGGTTGGCAGTTCAAACCTACCCAGCGGCTCTGTGGGAGAGAGACCTGGCAATCTGCTTTCGTAAACATTATGGCCTAGAAAACCCTGGGGGTACTTCTACTCTGTACTTTATGGGGCCGGTATGAGTCGAAAATCAACCCAGCAGCACCAGTGAAAGTGGGGGGACCATGATTCATAGCCACCTACACCCCCGCCCAGGTGGAGCAGCGACTGGAACCAGCCAAGCGAGCGGCCCACAATGTCCACAAACGTCTGCAGGCCTGTCTGCAGGGCCAGAGCGGGGCGGACATGGACAAGCGGGTGGTGAGTGAGGGTGCCGGGGAGGAGGGGCCCGGTGAGGGGACCTAGGTGCTGTACCTCACTGCTGAAATAAGCCATGTCCTCTCTGTCTAATAGGGAGGCGAGGTGCGGGGCCAGGCAGAGCCTCTGGCACTGAGAGGGTAGAGGCAGCTCTGGCCCAGGGTCCTTTGGGGTTCTCACTCCTGGGACTTTATCACTTCCCCAAGCCCCTTCTTGTCCCCACCTCTCTCTGCACCAAGCCCTGTGAGCCAAGGCCTGACAGCACCTGAACTCTGTCCAATCAGCCCCCAGAGCTGGCATTCTCAATTAGGAAGAATGCTGGGAGGGCTTCCTGGAGGAAGTGACATGTGAGCTACATTTTGAATGATATTAATATTAATCATCAGGCAGCATTTATGGACCCATTACTGCTAGAATGTTGCTAAGATACATTCCTGTGTTGTCTCAATCCTGGCAACAGCCCAAGGAGAGAGCAACTTTTATTAGCCAGCCCTCTTTTACAAATGAGGAAACAGAGGCTTAGAGATGTAAAAGTGATTTGCTTAAGGTCACACAGCTAGGAAGTGTCAGAGCTGTGATTTGAACCCTGGACACTCTGATCCCAAACCTAATACTCTCTCTAACTGTAGGTGGGACAGTGTAGGGCATGTTTTAGAATCAGTCAACCATTCTCCTTGGCCACAATATTGGGGAGGGACCTGGAGGTGGGTAGTGGGGAGCCAGAGAGGGTTTTGAGCTCAGCAGTGGCCAGGTCAGTCACATATCCCCGATCAGGGGAAAGAGCCCCAAGGCCAGGTGGATTCCTACCTCCTCTGTTGTTCCACTGTGTGACCTTGGGCCAGCTCCCTACCCTCTCTGATTTCTGTCCTCCATCTGTGCTGAAGCTTACTCATTCCTCCCTGCCCAGTAAGTGACTTCTGCAAGGAGGAAGGGAGTCCCTGGGTGATGCAAAGGGTTAACATGCTCAGACACTAACCGGAAGATTGACGGTTTGAACCCACCCAGACGAGCCTTGGGAGAAAGGCCTGGTATTCTGCTTCCCCAGAATCGGCCGCTGAAAACCCTACGGAGCACAGTTCTATTCCAGCATTCACAGGGCTGCTGGCTTAGTCAGCTCAACAGCAACTGGTTGTTTTTTTTTTTTTTTTGTCTCTTGGTTTGTTTGGGAGGAAGAAAGAAGACCCCAGATGGGTAGTGGCTCTGTACACCATCACAGGGAGATGTCACCCCTACCGTGCCTTGCCACCATGCTGTTACCACTCTCCCCACCCCCATGACTATGGTCTTCCTGGGTTCCCTTCTTCCCCGCCCATGCCCTGTGCTTCAGGTGGGGCTCTGTCTCCAAGGGGCTTGCTGGGTGCTCAGCAGGGTGTAAGGAGACTGAACAGGCGTGGGTGTGCGTGTGTGTGCGCGTGCACACACACACACACACACACACACTCCGTTCAAGCCAGCCCTTCCCCTCCTGCCCCTACAGAAGAAGTTGCCTCTCATGGCTCTGTCAGCTGCGATGGCCGAGAGCTTCAAGGAGCTAGACCCTGACTCCAGCATGGGGTAAGCGCGGCCTCCACATGGGGATACCAAGATGGGACCTGAACTAGGAGGAGGTCCAGATGAGCGAGTGCCTCCAGGCTGGACGGGTGAACAGGCTGGGGACAGTGTCCAGGTCAGGGAAGGCAGCTTAGTGAAGGCAGCAAAGGCGCGATGGGGAGGGGGCCCCCACTGAGTGTTCCAGGTTCGGGGAGGGCCGCAGGAGCCTGGGCCCACTGGGTGCTGTGTCCCACAGGAAGGCCTTGGAGATGAGCTGTGTCATCCAGAACCAGCTGGCCTGCATCGTGGCCGAGTTTGAGATGACTCTGGAGAAGGATGTCTTGCAGCCACTCAGCAGGCTGAGTGAGGTGACCCGCCCCCCCCAGCCTCCACCCCACTTCCCCAGCCTCGCCCGCCTGCCTCCTCCAGACACTCAGCCCTCCTCCACACCTACCCCCAGGAAGAGCTGCCAGCCATCCTCAAGCACAAGAAAAGCCTGCAGAAGCTGGTGTCCGACTGGAACACCCTCAAGAGCAGGTGGGAGCCACAGCCGCCAGGTGGGGTCCGCACCCGGGTAGGCCCTTCTCATTCCAGCGCGTTGTTGGGGGGCCGGGGTGAACTTGCACACACATCTGATCCTTGGAAATAAGGACGTGCCAAGATGCGCCTGTGTACATGTCTGCGTCTCTGGACCCAGTCACCGAGCCTGCCACCAGGGGGCGCTCCAGAGCACTCACGGCCTAAGCTATGCCAGTGCCAGCAGGGCTTGTGTGTCTACAACCCCTAGAATCTGCTGCTTGGGGTATGGAGGGGACACTGGGATCTAGATGGGCAGTGGGGCTAGTGACCACCTCACCTTGGGACTGTCCCCAGGCTCAGTCAAGCAGCCAAGAACTCAGGCGGTAGTCAAGCCCCAGGTGGCACACCAGGCGGTTACAGCCACATCACCACAGCCAACAAGGTGGAGACATTGAAGGAGGAGGAGGAGGAGCTGAAAAGGAAGGTGGAGCAGTGCAAGGTGAGGGCCACTGGGTGCTCCCCGGATGTGGGGAAGGGGTGGTGGGGCCAGGGTGGGAGTTGTCCCCATTTCACAGGTGAGGAAACTGAAGCTCAGAGGTGATGTGACCTTCCAGGCCGCAGAGCTGGGTTTGAGTCCAGCCACCAGACTTGGGGTCCATGTACTTAGCCCTTAACGTTTCAGCCTCTTCTGTCTACACGGGAGACCAAGCACCTTGGAGGGACTTGGTCTCTCCAGCAGAGCCTCGGTGTGTCTGTTAAGTGAATGAATGCATGGTGTTTGCTGAGTGAGTGAATGAATGAATGAAGAGGAAATATGCAAGGCACTGTGCTAAAGGTAAGGGTCACAGAGGTGAGGCTTCGAAGCGGTACAAGCCCTCAAGAAAGTTTGAGGGGGTTACAGCCCCAAGTCAGACCTGAGCAGAGAGCTCAGCTACCGGCCATGTGACCTTGGACTAGTCACTCACCCCTGTGAGCCGCAGCTCCCTCTCTGGGACCCCGGCCTCACCAGCATAAGCCCTTTCCTCTCTGCCCCAAGGATGAGTACCTGGCTGACCTGTACCACTTTGCTACCAAGGAGGACACCTATGCCAACTACTTCATCCAGGTGAGTCCAAAACAGGAGCCATCCGGAGTCCAGGGGGTGGACGCCAGAGCCAGGGCTCACTGGGACCCCCTGCGAGATGTTGGAGGTGTTGGGAGGGAGGTGTCTGCTCTCCTTGGCTCTGGAGAAGGAGACTTCACTCACCTTCCCCTGGGTCCCCCCAGATCCTGCAGGTCCAGGCCGATTACCATCGCAAGTCCCTCAGCTCCCTGGACACGGCCCTGGCTGAGCTGAAGGAAAACCACAGCCAAGCAGGTAGCAACACAGCTGGGGCCAACCCCGCACCCCACTGGTGAACAAGGGCATGGTGGGGAGCTCGGGCTTCCTCCAGAGGGCACTGGGGAGCCATGGGGGGTTTTTGAGCAGGGGAGGGCTGGATTAGGGTTATGATGGAGAGATTGCTTGGCTACTGTGAGGATGGAAGGAAGGAGGCAATAGTAGAGCTGGAATCTTGTTAGGGAACAGGCGTGATGGAAGCCTGGGTGAGGGTAGACGCAGCAGAGGTGGACAGATTTGAGAGAGAACAGGTGATTTTAGGGTCTGTGGCAGGAACGGTTGGGTGGGAAGTGGTATATCGTCGGCCAAAGCAGTAGCCCTTTGAGGATGTCTGGGGGTGCGGTGCCCCTGGCTGCCCAGGGCTGGGAGGGCCCCGGGCCGCTGATGTGTCTCGTCCCTGCAGACCCCTCCCCCTCGATGACGGCCGCCCCCTTCTCCAGGGTGTATGGGGTGTCGCTGAAAACCCACCTGCAGGAGCTGGGCCGGGACATCGCCCTGCCCATCGAGGCCTGCGTCATGATGCTGCTTTCTGAGGGCATGAAGGAAGAGGTGGGGCCCCCTGGGGTAGCTGGGACCCTCATTCTGTCCCAGACCTCCCACAGGCTGCCCTGCATTTCCACCATTGGCGCACAGAACCTGAGAGAAGGCCTGGCCTCCTGCTCTTAAATTGACACTAAACTCAAAAAAAAAAAACAAATTCACTGGCATGGAGTCGATTCTGACTCATAGCAACCTCCTTTTGGGTTTCCGAGGTGGTATCTCTCCGGAAGTAGATTGCCCAGTCTTCCTTCCATGGAGTGGCTCGTGGGTTTGAACCACCAGCCTTCTGGTTAGCAGTCAAGTGCCTTAGGCACTGCCCCACCGGAGCTCCTTGACGCTGCCTTCCTCTTAGGAAGGACTTCTTGCTTAGTGTAGGTGGTTAGCACTCAGCTGCCAGCTAGGAGGTTGGTTGTTTGAATCTTCCCAGAGGTACCTCGGAAGAAAGGCCTGGTCATCTGCTCCAAAAGATCGCAGCCATTGAAAACCCTATGGAGCAGTTCTACTCTGACCCACATGGGGACGCCATGAGTCGGGATCAACTCGATGGCAACTGGTTTTCGTCTTAATGGTGCCCATGTGTGCCAGGCACTCTGCTCTCGGCCCTGGGCGTTACTTACTCTGCTTAATTCTCCCAGTGACTTTAGAGAGCTCCCACTGGCTCTGATTTGTAAGGGGGGACGGGGCCAAGAGCTAAGTGTGGTCAGAGTTAATGAGAAGGTGGTGTTGGAACCAGTGTCTTCTGAGTCCTGCTGACCCCCAGGTCCTCCGCACCTTGGTGATGTTTGTGCATCTCCACCTGCCCTGAGGAGAGACCGCCTCTTAGCTAGTCAGTGCTGCTAGAAAAGATCTACCACAAGAGGGCGGCTTTCATGGACAGAAACTTACTTTCTCACAGTTTAGGAGGCTGGAAGTCCGGACTCAGGGTCTGACTCTAGGGAAGGCTTTCTCCCTCTGTCACCTCTGAGGGAAGGTCCTGACTCTCAGCCTTTATTCCGTGGCTCCTTGGGGATCTTCTTCTCACCTGGCATCTCCTTTCCCCCATCTCTGCTCGCTCACTGACTTGTTTGATCTCTTTTATATCTCAGAAGAGATTGGCCTAAGACACACCTTGTGCTAATACTGTCTCATTAATAACAAAGAAAATCCATTCCCAAATGGGATTATAACCACCAGAGCGGTTAAGATTCACACCACTTATTTTTTGAGGGGACACAGTTCAATCCGTAACAGACCTTAAACCACACACCAAGCCTGTTGCCATCAAGTGAGTTCCGATTCCTGGTGACCCCAGTGTGTTGTCAATGGCTGATTGTTCAGAAGTAGATGACCAGGGCTTTCTCCCAAGGGTCCTCTGAATGGACTCGCACCACCAACCTTCTGGTTAACAGCAAGCATGGTAGCTGTTTGCCTAACCCAGGGTCTCCCTGAAGATGGACCATTAGGAAGCAGAAAATACTCAGAGGCAGACTCAGGCTTGTCTGGAATCTGCTTCCCCAGCTTCTCCCAGACTTCCCACCCTGAGCTTTGCTCAGGATTCGAGACCTTGAGAGCCGAAGTCTCCACAGACCCTGTGGTGGCCACTCTGCCCAGCAGACCGGGGGGACACTGAGGCCCCGAGGGGGCCAGCAGCCTCTCCCAGACCATGAGGCAGCCAGGGCCTCCCAGCCAGTGTGCCCTGCCTGGCCGGCCCCTCGGTGGCCCCCACCTGCTCCCTCTCCCACCCAGGGCCTCTTCCGCCTGGCCCCGGGGGCCTCCGTGCTGAAGCGCCTTAAGCAGACGATGGCCTTAGACCCCTGCAGCCTGGAGGAGTTTTGCTCTGACCACCATGCAGTTGCAGGTGCTGCTCTCAGGAGCTTGGGGGCGGGGGGGTGGGGGCTTCACCGGGCTTCCCCACAGCTGCCTGAAATGACCCCACGATAGCTTGGCTTACAGCCTGGTGTTCTGATGAGGAGACGGTTCTTTCTTAACATGGGGTCCATGATGAACCCTGACATTCTTTTTGTCTTTTTTTTTAATTGTGATGTGGGTGAAAGTTGCAGAGCAAATTCACTTTCCATGCAGCAGTTCACATACACTTTGTCTCATGACATTGACCACAATTCACCACAATGCAACAGCTCCCCTCCCACTTCCTCCCGACAGTCACCTCTTCCCTAAGTCCATCCCTCCATGCACCCCTGCCCAACACTATTTTCAGACTGCATATGTGCATGTTCCTGGGGACAAGATTGCTAGCTTTCAGCCTTCCCTCAGCCCTCCCTCCCTGTGGCCCAAGAAAATGATCAGACCATGACATGGAACCTGGAGGTTCCTTCCAGGTGGAGCGAGATGGAGACCAGGGATGGCTTGAGGGACTGAGGATTGTCTCTGACCTCCTCCTCCACTTCAGGTGCCCTCAAATCCTATCTGCGGGAGCTCCCAGAGCCCCTGATGACCTTTGACCTCTATGATGATTGGATGAGGGCAGCCAGGTGAGATTGTGGGGGCAGGGGAGGACAGAAAGGAGGAGGCTGCAGGGATGCGGCCCTGGGCTTGGCTCACCAAGTCTCTTCCCGTTCTCAGCCTGAAGGAGCCGGGGGCCCGGTTGGAGGCCCTCCAGGAGGTGTGTAGCCGCCTGCCTTGTGAGAACTTCACCAATCTCAGGTGAGCCCAAGCCCACCTCCCCGGAGCTCCCTAGGCCGAGGCCATAGCCCAGCAGGACTTGGGACCCTGGGTTTGGGTCCTGGCCCTGCTGCCCTAAGCCATGTGTACTGGGGCATACCACAGTGCTCCTGGGGGCTTCCTGCCCCATCTGTAAGGTGGCTGGGAGTTGGGCAGGACAGGATACCCCAAACGTCTGCCATACCCAAAGCCCTTTTTTCCTATCACTTTCTGAAATACCTGCTTTAAACGGACTCACTCTTTTATTCAAAAATCTCCTTTTACCTCATCCTAAGTACTGTTTCTGAAATCACATCTTTGATGTGCTGGTCTTATTTTTCACACTAGACATTGAAAGGAACACGCACCTTGAGCCTTTGAAGACAGACTACCTGGCTTCAAGCCTCCCCTCTGTCCCTGTGTGGCTGAGAGCAAGCAGCTTAACCTCTCTGTGCCTCTGCACCTGGAAACTGCAGATCAGAACAATCCATGTCCTGTACGATGGCTGGGAGGATTGCAGCTCAGGGCCTGCACATAGTTGATATCAGTAGATCAGTAGTCCTCAGAGCTCTGGTGGTGCAGTGCTTGAGGCATTTGACTGCTAACCAGAAGGTTGGCGATGCAAACCCACCAGCCACTCTGCAGAAGGCTGACGGAGCAATCTACTTCTATAAAGATTTACCACCTCAGAAACCCAAAGCGGGTAACTATGAGTCAGAATTGACTCTGTGGCAGTGAGTTTGAGTTTGAGATCAGCAGTCCTGTGTGGTAGCTTCTAGCAGTGCCTTTTCTGCTCTGGAAGCCCTGGGCTGGGGAGTTCCCAGACCCCTGGGGGCTTTGGTGGGTGGGGTATTCATGGTCCAAGGTGCTATGATCCTGACCCAAGCCCACCACCCACCCTGCAGGTACCTGATGAAGTTCTTGGCTCGGCTGGCTGAGGAGCAGGAGGTAAACAAGATGACACCAAGCAACATTGCCATTGTCCTGGGGCCCAACCTGCTGTGGCCGCCGGCGAAAGAAGGGTGAGTGGTCACAGGCTGGGGGAAGGTGGCAGCGGAGGGAGGCAGCCCCCACCAGCTCCTATTCTCCAGGCTGCGTGAGGACCCCACAGGGCTTGGGAGACAGGCATTCTGGGTAACGGCATCACAGGGTCCTTGGTGACCTGGGAGCCCCAAGATCTGGTTCTATCTCCCCACTCCACCTTTCAGTGCCTGGGGGAGTCACTTTCTGGACCTTCATTTTCTCTGTAAAATGGAGAGGAATGACACAAGCATTGACGGTATTTTCTCTGATGACTAGATGAGATGATGGTTGGGGAAATATTTTACGAAGTAGAAAGTGCCATGATATGTGAAGCGTCGTTGTTACTCATCTGGCCACGGCTAGCGAAGATATTTCATCTCATGTTCTGAATAGAATTTATTGGTAGGGGCTGCCTGGAGCCAAGAACTGTGAGAAGCAGAGTGTTGTGATGGACTAGTGATGCCTGTCGTGGGTAGAGGAAGAGGGAGATTTGGGTTGCAAGCAACTTATTTGCCATCGACTAGTGATCCGTGAGCTTTTTGAGACTAGGGACTCTTGTGGGATTCATCCTTGTGTCCCCAGTGTCCAGCATAGGGCCAGAGTTCAGGGTCACTGTCACTACACTGTTTGCTAAATGGAGGACTCACTTTCCTTCCCTTTTTTGTCCCAGGGACCAGGCTCAGCTGGATGTGGCCTCAGTGTCTTCTATCCAGGTGGTGGGCGTGGTCGAGGCTCTGATACAGAACGCAGACACCCTCTTCCCTGGAGGTAAAGCTCCCGGCTTTGCAAATGGCCCCATCATGTCCTCTCCACTCCCACTTCCATGGCCTCTAGACTCAGGTCCAGTTCCTGCAACTCCACGCACTCAGTCTGGAGAGAACTGCTTCTCCACTCTGAGCCTCAATTTCTCATCTGTAAAATGGGGGTGCTACCACCTGCTCTGTGGGATTGTTCAAAGCTCACCTACAAGTGAGAAGGCAAAATAATGGTCTGCGTACTTTCAGGGGACAGGGAACATGACCTGGACAATGGCTGAGGTGGGAGGCTGGCAGAGGCTGTGGAAGTTAAGGTGTGCTCCCTTCTACCTCTAGACACCAACTTCAACATGTCAGGCCTCTTCTCGGCCCTCGCCCCCCAGGACAAGGTCAGCAACAAGCCAGCCTCTGAGGAGTCTCCAGCCATTGCCACAGTCACCCCAGCCACCACCCCAGCTCTCCCCATGGCTACCAAGGAAAGGTGAGAACTGAGGGATATGAATGGCCCCTGCCTGACCCCTTCAACCCCCAGCCTGAGGCACCATCTCTCAGGACTGCCAGCTGCATTTTGAGAAATGTAATGATTGGTGTTTTTATCCCAAAGACCAAGTTTCTTGGAGTGAAGATTCAGAGGCAGTATTCCTTCAAGCTCTGACTTGGTCCCCTCGTTTGTTGTTGTGAGTGTTTACTGAGCACCTACTATGTGCCAGGCACTGTTTTAGGCCCTGGGACTTAGGGAAATGAGATTCTCATTTTGGGATTTGAAAATGCCTCTTCGTCTTCCGTTGGGTTCTTTAAATCTGGAAGGAAGGGCTTTGTGGACCCTGTGGCCTCCATACCAGGTAGGTGTCTGCTATGCCACAGACGGCTGGTAAACCATGAATTTCCTCAGATGAGCACGACAGACCAGTGCTGCCCTTAGAACTTGCCTTCCAGGGGGCAGGAGAGATAGGTAAGAGGCAAATACGCTGATGGACATACACCGTGAAGTCCAGTAGTAGAGAAGGCTGTAAAAGAAAACGAAGCCGAACAGACAGAAAACCACATCACTGCAGGGCTGGGACCGGCCTCCCTGAGGAGGCAACAGCTGGGCAGACTGGAGGAAGTGAATGAATGGCCGTGTGGACTCCCTTCTGCTTCTCCCCCCACTCTCTGGCTTCTGGATCACACAGAGGCCGAGAGCTGAGGCAGAGGGAAGGCTCTGCTTTCTACTTCCTTCCCATCCTGGGCCCCCTCTGGCTCTACCGACTGGGCAGCAGGTGCTCTCCTAGCCAGCAGAGGACCATGGATGCTGTCTCAGGGTCACTCAGCAACCAGGGGCTCAGTGGATGCAAACCCTGGCTAATGCCCAAAATGCCTTCCCAGAGGGCCAGGCCTGCGGACAGATCCCAGACACAACCACAGGGCCAAAACCAAACCAAACCAAACTCACTGCCATCAATTTGATTGCAGCTCAGAGTGACCCCCATTGGGTTTCTGAGGCGGTAAATCTTTATGGAAGTAGATTGCCCCATCTTCCTCCCGTGGAGCAGCTGGTGGGTTTGAACCACCAACCTTCTGGTTAGCAGTCAGATGCCTTAGGCACTACACCACTGGAGCTCTTTAACCACAGGGCAGTGGGGAACAAATCGTGGGAGGACCCAGACTCTGCCTGGAGATCCCTCAGAGGTGGCCAGGCCTGACCTGACCCTCCCCTTCCCTGGACAGGATGGAGTCCGAAGGGCCCCCCAAACCTGCCTCCCCCAAGGTCAACAGGAGCCCCTCAGAAGCAGCTGCCCCACCAGAAGATGCGACTCGAAAGGGTGAGTTGGCTGTGGGGGAGAGGGTGGGCAAGAAGAGGGGAAGAACAGTCCCACATTGGTCAGTGTGGGTCACCCCACATTTCTTGCACAGCCAGGGACCCAGGAATTGAGGTGGTCAAGGGCGCAGGGTTCGCCACCTGGCTTTCTGGGTTCAGCTGCCAGCTCCGCCTCTGCCTTCCTGGCTGTGTGACCTTGGGCCTCAGCTTCCTCCTTGTGTAATGGGAACAGTACCTGCGCTGACCTTGGCGGAGGGCCGTTTGGAGAATTAAACAGGGATGGAGCAGAGTGCTGGGCTCACAGCTGGCACACATTGTGAGCATTAGAGGCATGAACACACTGAAAAGAGGAGTGGCATCTTCCAAGGGCGGTGACGTGACGGAGGGGAGGGGGCGGGGCCAGAAGCCTGCTCAGCCTCTAGGGTGCATTCACCTGTTGACTTGGTCCAAAGCCAGACAGGGGAGGAGGCCAAGGGTTCAGGTGGTTAATGATCTCCTGGAGGCATTGGCGTTTTCAGCCTGGGTGTACACTGTGGACCCCCGGGTACACACAGCAGCTTCAGGGGCTCAGAACGGGCTGTTCCCTCACCTGAGCACAGCCCTTCAAGTACTCGAGGGCCTGTTACCGCCTCACCCGGGCTGAGCCTCACGTCAGTATTGGTAGGTCAAGCCCTCCGCCTTCTCTTACTGATGAAGAAACGAGGCCCTAGGGGCCAAGCGACTCACCCCAAATCCCACAGCGGCTGGAGGCAGAGCTGGGACCAGAACCCAGACCTCCCAGGGCCCACCCTATCCCTCTGCCTCACAGGCTGGGCTCACCGAGCTGGCTCTGGTAGTTCTGGTGGGCTTCTGAGAGGAGTGAGTGAGACCCTGGTGTCTTGGGGGAGGGGAAACAGCATTCATTTATCGGCTAACATGGCTGCCCCCCCCGCCCCGTGCCAGCTCCCCCCACCAGGCAGAGGCTCTTGAGCTGGTCTCGCTTACTTTATGTTCTGATCTGCCAGATGGGCAGTAAACTAAAAAGTGACAAGATCATTTCAGTCCTGTGTGGAAAGCAGAACTGGAAGGTGCAAAGAGGAACTGGGGTGTGGGAGGTAGCATGGTCCGGGGATGGGGTGTGAGAGGTGAAGGGACGTGAAACCTGAGTGTAGAGAAGCCAGCCAGGAACAGTGTTTATGGCAGGAGGAACGGCAGATGCAAAGTCTTGAGGTGGAAGTGAGCTTGCTGGACTTACCACGGCCACTGTGGGTGCTTAACCTCCCCATTTCCTTCCTCTGCAGTCAAACGCCCAGCACCAGCCCGGCCCATCATGCTGCCCCCCCAGGTCTCCAGCACCCGCTCCTCCCCTCCAGCCCCACCCTTGCCCCCTGGTTCTGGCAGCCCTGGGAACCCCCAGGTTCTGCCCCGCCGGCTGGTTAATAGCAACCTCCGGGCCCCTGCAGTGCCACCCCCGTTGCCCCCCATGCCCCCCCAGCCTACCCGGCGCCAGAGCCGACGTTCACCAGCCTCCCCGAGCCCAGCAGCGCCCAGCCCAGGCTCTCTGAGCATTCCTGGGCAGGGAGGCCTAGAGGCAGCCACAGAGGAGGGAAGGTCTGTAGGTGGGGTCACCACTACCCCAGCTGTCCCCCCTCAGCCACGGCCCAGGTGCCTCACCTCAGAGACCAACTGAGCCAGCAGCTCCTCCCTGACCAGCCCCCAGTCCTCCCTTCCCACTTGCCCTCCCAGGACACACAGCCCTTGCTACTCCCAAGGGGTGAGGGCCTCCAGCCCTTGCCTACAAGTGCCTAGGTGTCCCCGCTGGGCCGGCCCCCATGGCGAGGAGGACTCAGGACCCCCCTTCTCTTCCACTCTGGGCTTGGGGGGCGCTGCATCCGACCCCCCACCCTTGTAGGGTCGCAGGGGAGGACTAGAAGGAAGGAGACGTGTGCCTGCTCCCATAGGACCTTTTTCTCTTGCCAATGTATTTTTTGTAAGGCTGGTAAATAAATTATTTTGGACAAAAACTAGAGAAGGGGCCCAAATGGTAGTTTTATTTTCTGTCCTTGAAATAAAGAAGCTACTTTCATAAAGGGAAAACAATTCCAAATGTGTCGCTTCCTTTCTTTCTTCCTGCTTGAAATAATAATCCTGACATTTTTAGCACTTACTATAAGCAGCACCACTCCCAAACCCACCAGCCACTCCTTGGAAGGAAGACAGGGCAATCTACTGCCATAGAGATACGGCCTTGGAAACCCAAGGAGGGGTCGCTATGAGTTGGGATTGACTCAATGGCACTGAGTTGGGTTTGTTTTTGTTTTTGTTTTTGTTTTTATGCACCACACTGCCTTTATGTGCATCACTTCCATCTGATCTTGTCCTCCTCAGGTGGATACCGTTGCCTCTTACAGGGGAGGAGACAGACTCGGAAAGAAGTGGCCTACACAGGGCACACACGGTGGTGTGAGGCTGGGGTTAGGAGCAAGGTCTAAGTCCCAAGCTGGGCTTGTTCCTTATAATCTGGGCAACATATGCTTTAGGTTCCCCAGTTCTCCACAGGTGTCCCTCGGTAGCTCAAATGGCTAGGCATTTGACTACTAGCTGAAAAGTTGGTGGTTCAAATCCACCCAGAGGTCACGGCCTTAAAAACCCTATGAAGCAGTTCTACTCACACACATGGGGTTGCCGGGAGTCTGACTGGACTAGAGGCTACTAGCAACAACAAACGTTCTGAGGGTTAAATGAGTGGCTCCAGGTAAAGACCAAAGCCCCACCCTCGGCACACAAAAAACCACACCCAAAACCACTATTGTGGAATCAGTTCTGACTCATAGAGTGAAATTGCCCCATACGGTTTCCACGGCTGTAAATCTTTACAGAAACAAAGCCCAAAACAAACCCACTACCCTCAAAAGCAATTCCAACTCACAGTGTCCCTAGAGGACAGGGTAGAATTGCCCCATAGGATTTCCAAGGCTATAAATAATTGCAGGGGACCTTTGGTGGTGTAGACCCTTAGGCATTTGACTGCTAACCAGAAGGCTGGCACTTCAGACCCGCCAGCCCCTCCTCGGAAGGAAGACTGGGCAATCTACTTCCACAGTGATACCGCCTTGGAAGCCCGAGGCGGGGTTGCTGTGAGTCTGGACCAACTCAACAGCAGTGAGTTTGGTTTTTTGCTTGGTAGATGTTTACAGAAGCTGACTGCTTCATTTTTCACGCATGGAGTGGCTGGTGGCTTTGAACCCTTGACCATTTGGTTAGCAGCCGAATACTTTAACCACTGCACTGCCAGAATGCCTTTGGCACACAGAAGTGCCCAATCTATGTTGGCTGCTGTTGATGTTGTTATCCCCACCCTGCAGTATGCCCAGAGAAGGCCCAGATGGATTTGTCCACAAACCCACCATGGTGCGAGCTGCTCTGGGCCAGAGCCTGGGTAGGTCCCTGACTCAGCCTTTGCCTCAGAAAGCTCCTGGGAACAAGCAGACAGGCAGAACTGAAAACAGAATCAAGCGTGCTGACATGGGAGCCCAGGGGCAGGACATCTAACCCAGACAGAGATGTGTGTATCTGAAGGGGTTGGAGTGTAGTCAGTGAAGGCTTCCTGGAGGAGGTGATTCTAAAGAGCATCTTTCAGGAGTTGGCAGAGCAGAAAAAGATGATCATTCTAAGCCTAGGAGACCACCTATCCAAGGGCCAGGAGTGAAAGGCCTGAGTCTTTGGGGAACACAGAGCAGCTGAGAATCAAAGGCTGGGTGACAGGGCATGCCTTGTCCAGGGTCTCTGGTGTTCCTGTTGCTCCTGGGGGTGAGGTAGGTCCTCAGCCCTCCTCTGAGGTTGGCAGACACCCTCAGATTGAGGCCCTGAGAGATCGTAATTCATCCTCTATCCCCACACTTTAAACCTCTGGCTCTGCAAAGTCCCAAGACCTGTATTTTCCCCAGATCCCCGCCTCCCCAAGAGAGAAGAGACAACCCCCTCACCCCAACACCATGCTGGGGCAACTGGCAACCACTGCCCTGACACTCTCCATCCCCCAATGACAGCCTGCCTCTAGCCCAGGGCTCCTCCACACTGACTTCACAGGAGAATCCTTAGGTAATGAAAAATCAAGCTTTTGTCAAAAGCCATTGGGGTGTACATTTGAGATCTAGCCTCTTACTGTATGTAAATTATACCTCATTTTTTAAAAAAGTTCCTCAGGGGATTCTATTACATACCCAGAGTGGGGAACTGCTGGCTGAGCCCAAGGGCTACAGCACCCAAGTTGACACCAGACGCCTGTCTCCCCACCACGACCACACACTTCGCAGGCTTTTCACTCTGAACCAGAGCACCCAAGGTTCAGAGGGCAGTGAGATTTTTTTTTCTTTTTATTGTGATTTGAGTGAAAATTTACAGAGAAAATTCACTTTCCATACAGCAGTTCACATACACTTTGTCTCATGACATTGACTGCAATTTACCCCAATGCAACAGCTCCTCTACCACTTCCAATAGTTACCTCTTCCCTGTGTCCATCCCTCCATGCACTCCTGCCCCCTGAGCTGTCTCCCTGAGCATACACAGCCCTTCTATTCTCCCGTGATTGTTCTATCCAAGGAGTGTATCTACCTCAGGTAAATGTTCAACTTATATGCCTGTCTTTTGTTTGGTTGGAAACCACAGGTGTGGGTTCAATTCCAGACCTGTAGGGCAGTTGGAGGCCTTAGTCTCAGTGGTTCCACCAGGGTCTATCAGACCAACAAACCTGGTCACTTTTTTTTTCACCCCCAAATGATTTTGAGTTTTGTTCCACATTGTTCTCCCTCTCTATCCAGGATCTCCTACACAGACCCCCCCCCACCAACGAGTGGTTGAGAGCGGTAGCCCGGCACCATCTAGTTCTTCTGGTCTCATAGTTGTACAGGCTGCGGATCGCATGGTGTACCAGTCAAGTCGCTAGGACTAATTGTTTCCACGAATCTTTGGTTTTCTTCATTCTTCTTCACTCTGGGCGAGGAGAGACCCATCGTTACATCTAGATGGCTGCTTGCAAGCTTTTAAAATTCCAGTTGCTACTCACCAAAGTAGGAGGTGGTACAATGTTTTATGTAATACATTAGGCCAATTGAGCCTGACGTCCCCCAGAGAACAGTGAGATTTAACCCATAGGCATCTCCCTTAACTGCTTTTCCCCTAGCAACCAGCTTCCCTACGCTGCTGATTGGCTGGGGAGCGGTGCGCTAACACTCTGCATTTTCTATTCATAGCTCCTTATTTGTTAAGAAAAGCTTAAGTCTCCCAGCCTCCCATCTTCGCAAGAGGTTAGAGATACTGAGCCACCATCCGGGATAGAGTGTAGGTTTGTACTCAGCGGCTACTGGCCCAGCCGAGATAAGGGGCGGGGCGAAGGAGCAAAGTAGTTGTTCATTGGTAACTCTCGATGGCAGCCACGACTCCGCCCTTTTCTCCGCGCTCCATTAGCTCGCAGCCTCGTTCCTCTCCGAAGAGCTCGCCCCCATTGGCTGGGGGCCAGGCTGTGGCCCCGCCCTCAGGCCCGTCCGGAGCCCTGATTGGCAGCCGTGGGGGAGGCGGGCCCGCTGCGGGTGAGCGCACCGTGGACGCCTAGGGAGAGCGGCGCGGCGCGGGCGTGCAGGCGGCCAGCTGGCTGCATGGCGCGCTGCGAGCGGCTGCGTGGCGCGGCCTTGCGCGACGTGCTAGGCCGGGCGCAGGGGGTGCTGTTCGACTGCGACGGGGTCCTGTGGAACGGCGAACGCGCCGTGCCGGGCGCTCCGGAGCTACTGGAGCGGCTAGCGCGGGCCGGCAAGGAGGCGCTGTTTGTGAGCAACAACAGCCGGCGCGCGCGGCCCGAGCTGGCCCTCCGCTTCGCGCGCCTCGGCTTCGGGGGGCTGCGCGCCGAGCAGCTGTTCAGCTCTGCTGTGTGCGCCGCGCGCCTGCTGTGCCAACGCCTGCCCGGACCGCCCGAAGCGCCGGGCGCAGTGTTCGTGCTGGGCGGCGAGGGGCTACGCGCTGAGCTGCGAGCCGCGGGGCTGCACCTGGTGGGAGACCCCGGCGAGGACCTGCGCGTGCGCGCCGTGCTCGTGGGTTATGATGAGCACTTCTCCTTCGCCAAGCTGAGCGAGGCGTGCGCCCACCTGCGCGACCCCGGCTGCCTGCTCGTGGCCACGGACCGCGACCCGTGGCACCCGCTCACTGACGGCAGCCGAACCCCTGGTGAGCACCGGGCCGATGGAAAACCAGACTGGGCGGGGGGAGGGTCGTGGCTGTGCCCTACGCTTTTACCTCCTCGTCTGGGGGAAAGGGGCGGGGCGGGGGCGTCTCCAGGTGTCAGGTGGGGACCTCCCACCCAACTAGAGCTCTAGGTGCCTTCATGTGCATATCTGGTAATTCTTGCTGTCACCCTGTGAGAGACAGTGGTGAGGTCCCCGCTTGACAGATAAAATACTGTGAGACCAGTTGTGGTGTAGGGGACCCCTGGCTAGTCCAAGTCTCTCCAGTCCAGACCTTCCTGAACCAGCCTTCAGGCCTCTTATCATTTTGCCCCACCCGTGGGAGTTAAGGCGCTCTAGTGGGAGCTCTGGTAGCATAGTGGCTAAGACACTTGCCTGCTAACCAGACGGCTGGCGGTTCAAACCCACCAGCCACTCCTCGGAAGGAAGGTTGGGCAATCCTACTTCCGTAGTGATACTGCCTCGGAAACCCAAGGAGGGGTCGCTATGAGTCGGGTTTGACTCGACGACGGCACATAACAACAACAACAACAGTGGTGTAGTGGTTAAGGCATTTGGTTGCTAACCAAAAGGTCAGTGGTTTGAAACCAGCAGCGGCTGGGTGGAAGAAAGATGGGGCGGTCTTGCCTAAAGATTTTTTGATCTTTGAATCATATAGCCTTGGAAACCCAATGGACTTGGTGCCATGGCAGTCAGTTGTTGAGGTGTTTTTGGTTTTTTTTTTTTTTGGTTTTGACTGCGGGAGTGAGGTTGGAGGGTTGGGGACATAGACTGGAAGGATTTTTCCCCTTTGTGAGGGTTGGAACGTCATTCTTGGAGGCAGAAGGTGAACAGGTGCCACTGAGGTGGAGTTTGACCCCAGTTCAAGTTCTAGCTCCACATAGTCTTGTTGGGTTACATAACCTCTGGAGGCATCTCTGTCCTGAGTGAGAAAAAGGAATACCACCGTGCCCGCTTCCCTGAGGGGAGAGTGGTCCAGGTCGGTGGCTAGCACACAGTAGGTGCTCATGTTACAGGGCCTTACCGAGTACATTGATGGATGCTGTTCTTCCTTAATTTCCAAGTAGCTGGAGTTAGTGTCCACATTTTTCAGCTAAAGAAACTGAGGCTATGAGAGGGGAAGTGAGCCAGTCCAGGACACACAGACAGTCAGTGACAGAGCTCAGGGACTTGAATTTGGCTCTTGTGACCCCCTGTCCAGGATGTTTTTCACTGCTGTAATCTTCCTGAGCCCCACACAGGTGACAGGAGCAGTCAGAGGCCCCTACACATGGAAGTGTTGGTTTGATAAGAGCAGATGGCAGCTTTGGCTACCTGGCCAATGAATGTGTATGGATAGTCAGAAGGCTGGGGGCAGAGCCAGGTCTCCGTCACCCCCTTCCTGCCAGCCGCTGACCCAGATAGTCATCAATAGCAGATACTGGGGGGCAGGGTGGTATTGAGCGAGAAGGACTAGACACAGTGCTGTGAGGGGGTGGTGGAGAGGGCCAGGCACAGAGGGGATCTGGGAAGACTGCCTGGAGGGGTATCTTACAGGGCAGGGAGCTAAGGTACTGACCCTGGAACAGGGCTTGGGCCACGGTAGAATCAGTACCAGGCTGGGAACCCGTCATTGTAGGCCTGTTCTGGCTGTGCCACAGACCTGCTTGCTGTGTGACCACCTCAGGCTCAAACCAAAAAGCGAAACCCGTTGTTGGGCAGTCAGTCCTGACTCCTGGTGACCACAGGGTTTTCACGGTCTCATTTTTCAGAAGTAGATTGGTAGGCCTTTCTTCCAAGGTACGTCTGGGTGGATTCGAACCACTAACCTTTCACTTGATAGCCACGTGCTTTACCATTTGTACCACCCAGGGCCTCCTGGCTCAGCCTCAGTTCCCCATAAATCCGAGGTCAGGACTCTAGTCGGCAGCTCCCGCCGACCCCAGGTCACACTCTGAACAGTGAGTTTTGCCTTGGAGGCCTCAAAGCTCCGGTTTAGTCTGTCGGCTGGAGTCCTCTGAGACTCAGGAAGGTTGGTGTTGAGTTGGGTGAGACTTGGGCCTGTTTCATGGTTCTTCTCGTGAACCCAGGCCCCTTGAATCTCACTCGGCACCAACCAACTGCTCCTGCCTGTCCCTGCTGGTCACTCCCATAGCCTAAAGGGGGAGGCAGAGGCTTACCAAACACAGCGTTGCAGGTACATTTCTGCATAGCTGAATGACACAGCTTTGAAAGTAGGGTATCAAAAAATTACTAAGTCCCTGTTACTCATCAAATCTGAAATAATGCAAATCTTCCCCCAGCCTTCCCTCACACATGGAACTCCTAAATTATGAGTTGTCTTGGTGCCACGTGGCAACCAGTTGAGCTGGCGAATAGCTATGCCTGCTGTCATTTAGAAATACGTCACCAGCATAACATGCAACAGCCTGAATCACAGGCTGTTGAAATACATGGAAAACAGTGATCTGAGAGACGGTGTTAGGCTCACAGACTCCCCTGCAAGGATGCCTGCTCCCCCAGGACAGGGAACATTGTCTGTTCTGTTCAGTGCTCCATGCCAGCACCTGCCATAGTGCCTCACGTGGTTGGGCCTCAGTAAATATTAGTTGAATGAATGAAGTGGAGCATGGGGGGCCGAGCGTGATCAGCCCTGTCCCGGTGGGAAAGGAAGGCACTAATGGCTGAGGAAAACACAGGGGTGACAGCCCAGCCCTTCCCGTCCTGGCAGGAACCTCTAACCCAAGGAGCAAAGGGCTTCTCCTCCCTACCCAGTTCTTAAGGGAACAAGCAAGAGGTGTGTAGGTCAGCTGTCAGAGAGAACTTTCCTGAGGGGATGCGAGGGGCTGGCCTGGAAGCCTGAGTTCTGGCCCAGCTCCACCCTGGTTCTGTGACACTTGGAAGTCCCTCCTTGTCTGAAGCCGCAGGGCTGATTCTCACTGTCTGTGCTAACTTTTCCCAACCTTTCCCTGCTATGCCGTTGGCTTGGCTGAGTAAAGTGTCCTTTGGGACGAGAGGCTGCAGGTAGAGGGGCTTGGGGTGAGAGAGCAGAATGCTGGTTTGCGTTCATTTGCCAGCTGCAGGGAAAGCCTGATTTATACCATTTGCCAATTGCCGTGGTGTAAATACTCCCACTGTGGCCGATTTCAGGCTACCAGTGTCTAGTCACTGAACATGGAGTTGGGAAGAGCTGTGTGGCAGCACCCCTTTTTCTTTTTATTATGCTCTGGGTACAAATTTGCATAGCAAACTTGTTTTACATTCAGTAGTCCATGCACATCTGATTTCATGGCCCCAATTACTGTCCCCAACCGTAAAAAATTCTCCCTTCTCCCCCCTGTGACCACCCCCTCCCTGTGCCCTTCTTACCCATGCATTCCTGTCTGTCCAGCTTTCCCTCTATGTGGGTGCTACCCCTCTGGTGTCTCATGGCTGATTGATCCAAGGGTGCATCTCCCTAGAGTAGGTGGGTGCATTAACCAGGGGTAGGTGTTCTGTATGTAGGTCTTTCTACTGTTGGGCTGAGAGCCGATCCACGTAAGGGACTCCATTTCTAGGCCCAAAGGGTAACCTGGGGCCATAGTCTCGGGGGTTCCACCAGTCTCTCTCCAACCAGCAGTTCTGGTCATTTTTGAGTGGCACCCCTTTCTATTACTATTAACAGTGATAAACAACCTCAAGAGCACAGATAACAGTAAAAACGTGGTCAGATCATTAGTAGAAGGTTCAAATTTATGACTTTTGTTCTAAAAATAATTTATCTGCTTGTAACTTTATATGAGTTGATTCTTAATTGTGGCTGTTTAACAATGAGCTTACAAAATTCCTGAAAATGAAATAATTGGTAGCTCCCAGGCTGGCCCTGCACACGGCCGGGCCAGAACCCCAAGTGCAGATCCTTTCCTGCTCCCGATTGAGCTGTGCGGTGTCGCACCTCAGCCTCAGCTATCTCACCTGTAAGATGGGCTTACACCACTCCCAGCACAGCCACTTTAGAATACGCCTAGTGAATGGCGATCGACCTCATCATCGTTTGTTCAGAAACATTCGCGTGAAGGCAGAACATTCTGGCTCAAAGACACGCCTGTGGGACAGGCACAGTGGACCCATTGTGGGGCCAGGATAACACTGGGCTGGCAGTCAGGTCTGTCCTTCTAAACAGCCCTCCTGTTGTTAGACACTTGGACGCCTTCCACGATTTTGCTTATTAGAGTCACTGCTGCCACAGACATCTTCAAACATGTAGCGTTTTGCCTCCGGTTTGAATTCTCTTCTTGTGATCACTTTCCGGGCAGAGGCTGACTGGGTCAGAGGTGTGAACGTTTCTGGGTCCTGCTGTGTCGTTCCCAGAGGGCAGTGCCAGTTCCTCTTGCCAGGAGCGCACGTTCCTAGAGCAATAAGCACAACCACTGTTGGCAGGTTGCTTGTCGGTTTACAAAGCGCTTACCCCTGTGATCCGTACAGCTCCTCATTCAAGGTGGGCGTTACTTGGATCCCCCTTTTGCAGTGAGTCCAGGGAAACAGAGAGGTTGAGTGGCTGGCCCAAAGACACAGAGTTACCGGAGTAGGATAGTGAGCAATGGACAGGACTGTCTGAGCCAGGCCCTGTTCTATTTCTTTTTCAGCAATCTCTTTGCTGGTGTAGAGGAATCCAACTGATTTTTGGATGTTGATCTTATATCCTGCGACGTTGCTAAATCCCTCAATTAGTTCCAGTAGTTTTTTGATTGTTTTCTAGGTATAGGATCATATCATCAGCAAATAGGGATAGTTTGACTTCTTCCTTACCAATATGGGTGCCTTTGATTTCCCTTTCTTGCCTTATGGCCCTGGCTAGGACTTCCAGTACAATGTTGAATAGAAGTGGTGATAGCGGGCATCCTTGTCTAGTTCCTGTTCTCAAGAGGAATGGTTTCAGTCTCTCTCCATTGAGGGTAATATTGGCTGTTGGTTTTGCATAAATGCCTTTTATTATGTTGAGGAATGTCCCTTCTACTCCTATTTTGCTGAGAGTTTTGATCAGAAATGGGTGTTGGATTTTATCAAATGCCTTTTCTGCATCAATTGATATGATCATGTGGTTCTTCTCCTTTGTTTTATTTATGTGGTGGGTTACATTGATTGTTTTTCTAATGTTGAACCATCCCTGCATACCTGGTATGAACCCCACTTGGTCATGATGAATGATTTTCTTGATATGCTGTTGGAGTCTATTGGCTAGGATTTTGTTGAAGATTTTTGCATCTATATTCATGGGGGATATTGGTCTGTAGTTTTCCTTTTGGGTGATGTCTTTTCCCGGTTTTGGTATTAAGGTTATGCTTGCTTCATAAAATGAATTAGGGAGGATTCCATCCTTTTCTATGTTTTGGAATACTTTGAGTAGAATCGGTATCACTTCTTCTCTGAATGTTTTATAGAATTCTCCAGTGAAACCATCTGGGCCAGGACTTTTTTTAGTTGGTAATTTTTTGATGACCTGTTCAATTTCTTCTTTTGTGATGGGCCTGTTCAAATTTTTCACTTCAGTCTGTGTTAGTTTAGGTAAGTGGTGTGTTTCTAGAAAACTGTCCATTTCCTCCAGATTTTCAAATTTGTTGGAATACAGTTCTTCATAGTATCCTGATATTATCCTTTTTATTTCAGCTGGTTCTGTTGTGATGTCACCCATTTCATTTCTTATTCGTGTTATTTGTATTCTCTCCCTCTTTTCCTTTGTTAAATTTGCCAGTGGTTTGTCAATTTTATTGATCTTTTCAAAAAACCAACTTCTGGTCTTGTTGATTTTTTCTATAGCCCTTCTATTTTCTGTTTCATTGATTTCTGCTCGAATCTTGATTATTTCCTTCCTTCTGGTGACTGTAGGCTTTTCTTGCTGTTCTTTCTCTAATTGTTGGAGATGTTCGTTTAAAGTGTTGATTTTGGCTCTTTCTTCTCTTTTGATGTGTGCACTTATTGCTATAAATTGGCCTCTGATCACTGCTTTTGCTGTGTCCCAAAGATTTTGGTATGTTGTGTTTTCATTCTCATTTGATTCAAGGAATTTTTGAATTTCAATTTTGATTTCTTCTCTTACCCAGTCTTTCTCAAGGAGGGTGTTGTTTAGTTTCCATGTGTTTACTCTTTTGGTGCTGATCCTCCTATTATTGATTTCTAATTTGATAGCATTATGATCTGAGAAGATGCTTTGCAATATTTCAATGTTTTTAAATTTATGAAGCCTTGCTTTATGGCCTAACATATGGTCTATCATGGAAAAAGTTCCATGTGCACTGGAGAAGAATGTATATTGTGCTGCTGTTGGGTGAAGTCAGGCCCTGTTCTAGATGCTTCATTTGCAGCGACTCATGCAGTCCAGTAGCCACACAAAATAAGTGCCATTAGTATCCCCAAAAGGTTGGCAGTTCAAACCCCATCCAGTGGCGCTGCTAAAGAAAGGCCTAGCAATATGGTTCCATAAAGATTACACCCAAGCAGACCTTCTAGTTCAGGATGCTGTTAACACGGGGTTGCCATGAGTCAGATTGAGCTCCACAGCAGTGGTTCTGGTATGCCCATATTAGAGATGGGGAAACTGAGGCACAGAGAAGATAAATAGCCTGCTCCAGGGAGCTCTGGTGACATAGTGCCTAAGGCATTTGACTGCTAACCAGAAGGCTGTCGGTTCAAATCCACTAGCCACTCCTTGGAAGGAAGAAGACTGGGCAATCTACTTCCGTAGAGATAGTGCCTCGAAAACCCAAGGAGGGGTCGCTATGAGTCGAATCGACTTGATGGCAGTGAGTTTGGTTTTTTATTTAAGAGGCATGGCAGTAGGGTCTGAACACAGGCATGTGGTTCCAGTGTCTGTACTCTTGGCCACTTCGCTAACACTTGGACACCATCCTTTTGCCCTGTTCCAGGGCCTGGATGCCTCCCCCTCTGCCCCCACTGACCCAGTCTCCCCTCTCCCCGCAGGCACCGGGAGCCTGGCCGCTGCAGTGGAGACGGCCTCAGGTCGCCAGGCCCTGGTGGTGGGCAAACCCAGCCCCTACATGTTCGAGTGTATCACGGAGCACTTCAGCGTGGACCCCGCCCGCATGCTAATGGTGGGCGACCGCCTGGAGACCGACATCCTCTTCGGCCACCGCTGCGGCATGACCACCGTGCTCACGCTCACGGGCGTCTCCCGCCTGGAGGAGGCCCAGGCCTACCTGGCGGCCGGTCAGCAAGACCACGTGCCCCATTACTATGTAGAGAGCATTGCTGACTTGATGGAGGGGTTGGAGGACTGAGCGCACCTGACCTGCAACTGCAGCCCTGCCCCTCACCCCAGGCCCTGATCCCCACTGATGGAGGTGATGGATCCGGAGCTACATCAAGCGCCACGAGTCCCCTAGCCCCGGTTTCTGTACCCTGGTGAGGCTGGGACCCAGGGAAGGTTTTTAGGGCCCTCGTAGCCTCCTCCTTCCAGCAATGGCTGAACACTGCTGTCCTAGAAGCCACTCCCTCCCTCATGGTTCATCCCAGCCCATCCAGGTAGCTGTATTTCCTGCCCTGCCACCTCCCTTGATGCCAACTGAAGATGTTTCCCATCTCTGAGGCCTCTACACCTCTGCCTGCTCCTTGATCCTGGCCCTTGGGTTCCTGGTGACCAATCATAGGTCTAGGTAACCATAAAGTATTATTGTCCTGTGCCCTGAACGGACCAATCAAAAAAGACTTAGTGCTATTGGGTCACTCATAGATGTTGGGTTTGGAGTGGACCTTTTAGGAGCCAAAGGAGCCCTGTGGCACATTGGTTAAGTGCTCAGCTGCTAACCGGAAGGCTTGGGGGTTGAACCTACCAGCAGTTCGATGAGAGAAAAGGCGTGGCAATTTGCTCCCCTAAAGATTACAGCTTAGAAAACCCTACGGGGCAGTTCTCCTCGGTCACGTGGGGTCAGCAGAGCACAATAGTGACATTGGGAGCCGGGATAGCAATGACCTTTTGATGTCTTGGAGCCTGAGTGGACCAATCAGAAGGCTAGTGACTATGTCCCTTTCCTGTCCTGGGTCCTGAGTTGACCAATCAGGACACAAGTAATAACAACCCTTTGGTCTCTTAGACCCTGAGTAGATCAACCCAGAAGCCTGGGAGACAGTGGCCTCTAGACAACCTGAGTCTAACTGATCATCCAGGGTCCAGATTCCAGTCAAATAAAGGTCCATGTTCCAAAGCTCTTCCCTCCACAAAGGTGGTGATCCCGTGGCCCCTCAGTGGCTCTGGGAGTCTGTGCCTGTGAGGCCTGCCCTCCCCTGGTCATGGCTGCCCATCCAATGTTATGGGGGTCCAGCCTGGGGTGGGGGGACTCTTGCGCCCCTCCCGTGCTGTGTTTGCTGTACCACCTCACCCCATGCCCACCCCCAACTATTTATTTATTTATTATCATGTGCCAGTGCTGGTGGGGGTGAGGGCTGGGTCTTCCCTGCCACCTCCACCCCCGCTGTAACCAGTCTTCCCAGACTGAATAAAGTGCGTGAGAGAGTCCGTGTGTTCAGTCTGGGTCCAGGGTGGGAGGAGGCGCCCCTGCTGAAGCCAGCCCTCCCCAGAACCTTCCCCTGAATGAAACAGTCCACCCGTTCGTCTGAGCAGTCTCTGTGTGCCTTGGCTGTGCTACGCACGTCGTTGAGTCCTTACATAGCCATCTGTCTAAGTCTCTGGAAACCCAGCACATTTGTCTTCCTCAGCCCATTTTACACCGTAGGAAACATAAATGCCATGTTAACTAATGCAGGGTTGCACGGCTGGATGTGATCACCTTGGGCAGGATTTGAACTCAGGGTGGCTGGCTCCAGGAGGCTAGAACCACTTCTCTGTAGAGACTGAGGGAAAGACAGGAAGATGGAGGAAGAGGCTCACCCAGTCCTTGGGGAGCTCAGGTGGGGTGCTGCTGAATGCCCCTCCTACAGGGACTCATTTGGGATGCTTGTCCTGCCGCTGCAAGTCCTTCCCTCCCAGGCTGTGGGTTTTGTTGTTGGCTGTATCCCTAGTGCCTGCTGCACAGGAGATCCTCAGCTATGATCTGGCCAAGGACGGCCCTGAACGGCACAGAGAAGCTGAGTGGGCAGCTGCCATGGCTACTCTAGGCCTGTCACCATCGTATTCCGTGAACTTGGGCAAACTCGTTCCTACTCAGCCTCAGTTTCCTCTTTGTAAAGTGGGTGGGACTTTGAAGTGTGCTGCTGCTTGGGAAGGAGGCTTGACCAAACCCAGCTGATAGGCCTTACTTTGGGTCATGAGGACAGATAACTTGGCCAAGGCATGTTGTTGTTGTTATGTGCCGTCGAGTCGGCCCCGACTCA